ATTTAGAGCACAGCCACTATATGTGCTTCATCACTGCCACTAAAATTCATAGCACAGCCACTAAATCCGTTACACGCTTAAACGGGGGACATTTTTCAACTACACCGCCAGTTCTGCAGAAGGTCCTGAGATCATTCGGAGAATGATCTGCGACGGCAATCAGACAATCTTTTTTTAATCATTCTCGAAGGTTTCTGAAACCTCAGAACGTAGATTCACAGACAATGGAGATCCCGTCACATTTTCATGAGCTTCTGGCACAACCTTCGTGAGATATTTACCCCAGACATCAAAGTGACAGCCCTCTGGTGCTCAAATCAAGCCTGCCTGAATACAATGCACATGGCAAACAAATCATGTTTTATTCGTTGAAATTGTATCCAATACCGTAGCTAAAGGATGTATAGGGAGCGAATCAAGTAAAAATTACCTAAATGGACGATCGGATGGGATGAATTTGGGAAGGCAGTTGATGCGCGAGACCGAGACCAGGTGTTGACACGTTGACGGTCCAAAGGATTTGAGGGTAACTTGAGATCTTGAAGCATTGACCGAATACACAAGTTTTGGAAAGGCACCAGCGCGAGCCACTTGCTGGGGTGGGTGCAGAAACGGCACCAGAGAAGCATAGGTCTTCAGGTACAACTGATAGAAGAGTCTACTGGAGGCGTGGGAACGTCGAATCAGGATTGCGGGTGGATATGGGACGGAAAGTGCGACGAGGAGATGGGGATGGAAGGAAGAAAAAGCGACCAACCATCCGTGTTTGGCACCACAAACAATCACGCAATTGATGCACGTGTGTCGGACTTTGAAGCGACTTCGGACTTTGCAATTCTTCAGCAATTTTTCAGTGAGATGGGCTCTAGAGTCGCCCATTAAAAACTGTAAATGGGGATCGTCGTCTGACATTGTTGAAGTAGAGAAGAGTGAAGATGTAACATTCAGAGTGGCTGTGTTTACATGAGTATCTTATGGATGCTAGGGAAAAAGGTTCCACAACCTCCCTAGGATGTTTTTAGAAGGTTTTAGTAGTGCTCGTGGAGAGGTTTACTCCCCGAGGCTAATGGAGCACTCCTCATCAATAATCTGAAAAGGTCCGCGGCCGGAGCTTCTCATCACATCAACCAAGATTGGCGGTGTAGCATGCAAAAAGCTCATTTTGATTGATCAAAAATGATTACATAAGTACTCGTAATCCCTTAGAATGTCAAACCAAAGCAATCTGTCTCCTCAGAACTGTGTTTACAGAGGTCGTTGAGGTGCAAAGTTGTTACCGGCCGGTTCACATCAAAATTCGGCCTCACGGTTTTCACTAGTCCGTTTTTAAGGTCAGGTGCCCGATTGGAGTAGAACCTTATTACATAATCACGTTTTGAGGCCCTTGGCCCAGTTCTTGAACCTTGGATATAGCTACATCAGAATTAAGTTCGAGTTTAAGATGTGAAGCATTCATAGTGATGTTTTGGCTTTGGCTTGGCCTGGAAGCCGCGGCTTTGGCCTGGCTTCATCAGGAAAATCTGAAATGCTATGATAGACACAAGGCCAGCTATTTGGAGCTATATATGTCTTTGACTGACTATGGTGGTCTATGAGGAAGTATTGAGTTGCTACATGTGTCTATGTGATGCTATCATTATCTATAAAACTTTGGCCTGTCTTTGAATGACTATAAGCGCCTACATTGCAAGATTATTAAATTTAGAGTGAATTCATACAAAGAAATTCTACCACATCAAGTGGTATGAGTAGAGTCTTGCCCAGTTATTAAGGAGGAAACTGCTACACTCATCTAAAACATTATCAGAGGTCCATTGCGGATTCACGTCCACCTGCCAAAGTTAGGAAATAGCTGACATATTTGACGAATGTCGAACAAATAGATAACAGACCCTCTCAAACTGCCATCGGCCCGAGGCGGAGGTTTGGAGATGGCAAGCATGTTGTGGTTAGGTTCGTGAGAGGGCCTGAATGAAAAGAACCACTCCACCTGCCCACGCAGCCAGGCCATATTGAGCCCACAAATATATGATTAAAGGACTCAATAGTATAGAGGTTATGTTACTTTAGTTTGAATTTTTGTAGTTATGCCACGGTAACCGGTTCGATCCCCTGTAAAGTCATTTATTTGCTTAAGCCTTAACTCTAATATCAAAGATGATGATTTCCAGTGCGAGCAGTGCAAAACTGACCCGGGATTCTCGTGCTCCGAGTGCGGCTGCAGGCGGCTCGGGGGCGACATCCTCGGGTGGTAGCGGTAGAACATCGGCTGAAACCCGCCATGGCAGTGCTATTGCATCGTATGCAAGGCGCCCATCGTCTACGTCGAATACTCGCCACTAGTGCTACACTGCTTGGTCCATAGTGTGTAGTGCAGATCTCAATGTGATCTCTCAGGCTCCTGGAGCTGTTCTCTGTCGAAGATGAATTCAAATTAAATCCACTCTCGCCCACTTGCGTGCTACACGCGCCCGGTCATTGCATGCTAAGCGGAAATAAAATTCAGAAAAGATGTACGGCATCTCACACATGCCCATGACCGCTTGGGTCTTCTTCCTGCACTGTTCTTTCGCGAATAGTCCTGACACAACACTCGGGCTCTTCTCTTCGGAGGCAGACCCAGGTGTTTGTTGCATGCATCTGCAAAGGGACAGATCCACGACAGCTTTCTGTGTACTGGTGGACTCCGGGGATTTTTACCTGGGGGGAGAGAACTCCCCCCGTACTCCAGCATTTTCTGCTGTGAGGTCAGGTCCCACGAGGTTTTAACCGGAGGTCCTGCCTTTTCGAGGCCGGCCAGTCCACGGTAAGCCAGCGTCTTGTGACAATCGACCCCCTGGAATGGTGTTGTGCTCCGTTGACATCTTGTAGATTTTATGTATGGATAACCACCCGTACGTTACTACGTGTTTGTCTTCGGTAGACTCGTTGTTCATGTTGTGGACCATGCGAGTATAATAAATCCCCCCCCTTGATGGAACTCCTCATCTTATAGGACCAATCTTATCAGAGAACTTTGCTTGCGTAAGAATCTAAGCAAACCCGGTCCTTATAAATACTTTTATATTTTATATAAATGTCCACTGCAGTCTTTTTTTCATGTGATCTATGGACGTCTATGAGCCACTATGAGTGCTGTGGCCATGACAATTAACACTGCAGCTTTGGTAACTATGACCAATTATAAGTGTCTATATATTTGAACCACCCCCCTCCCACCTTTCTATATAATTGGCCCGTTTGCTATATCGTCTATGAGTTCTATATGTGTCTATATGTATCTATATGGCAACTTCAGTTTTTCCTGATGGAAGGCGCTGAACCCCCGTCTTCCTTCTGCCCGTAACGCCGTGATCTTATGGAGAAGGGAGGGCTGTTAGCTACATCCGGAGCTGAATAAACCACCCCATTTCTTCCTGGTTTCCCGTTCGCTCAGACAACCCAGCACAATCTCATTGTTTTACTTACTTGCAAACACATTCAGTTGTTTATGTCAGGTGCTTTGTGGCGGTGCACCTTCGTATCTGATGAATCAGACCTACCTTCATTTTGCCATTTTTTGGATGCGACTCACAGGCTGAGTCGGTTATTACACAAGCTCATCAAATGAACCAGTCCTAGTACTATGCTCCTTCGAAAACCAGAAAAAACCCTCAAGTGATGTCTCTGCCAAGTCTCTGCTGGTGCTTTCTATGTCCAAATGGGTCTCCGACTTTGAAATTTCTTGCCCAACTCTCACCGCTTTTTGTATCATAGCATGCCACCGCCATGCATTCCTGAGGGTGTTTCGATAGTAACTTGGTGGGGGTGAGTTTATTCCACGCTCTTTGTCCGTGCCTCTTCCAACTACTTTATAGGCATGCTTGGGATGGTTTCCTACATGGTGTTCACTGGCTCGGGACCATCTTGCCATTCCTGCCTTGTCTGTTTCCAGCAAGCACATGTTCTCAGCTGGAGGGATCACGATCAGTAAGCGACGCAACAGACTGAAGGGGGATACTGTGGAGGCACTGCAGGTCTTGAAATCCCTCATCAAGGTGAAGGACATGTTCTATGCACCACCTTCGATGGTGATCGAGGACGACGATGATCCCGTGGTCAAAGACGATGTTGAGGGAGGTTGGGATTGTTTTTTGGACGATGTGCCCGATAATTACGAGCCAGATGTATCAGTAGAATGATAACTTGTATCTGTTCAACCGGATTTGAAAAATGTGTACTAAAGCCAAAGCCTGGGCCAAAGCCAAGCCAAAGCCAGACGGTTTGGCTTGGCCTGGGACTTTGCTAGGCCAAAGCCACCCCAACTTCGTTCCTTTTCCCGGTGCCTCCAATTCCTCCTGAAGCAAACTATGAGGCTCGCGCTACTTAACGACACTTGCCAGGACATATATTAAGTAGGCTCGACACTTCAAGTCTTTTTCTGCAGTTTCTGTCTCCGCTCACCAATGGTTGCTCCCTCAAGACTAAGGCAGATACGAATTCAGCCTCGGAATACAGCGTGTCTCCCCATGGTTATTTTTATTTGTTAGCTCTCTGACCTCTCGCCTCCGAAGCTTACTTTCAGAGCCTTGACACGAAAATCAAATCAATCGGCCAGCACCGCTGAATCGCCGGATGGCTGGACCCTGGCTGGCTCTGCAAACAGGACGAAATGCGATGGTTTTTTCGGACTCGAAATGTAGCCAACAGCCCTGCTAGATCAACGCAGATCATCCCTCGGCCCTCCATCGGGGTGAACATAGCCAGTAGGGGGAAGGCGGGGGTTCGACTCCTCCCTGGGGTACCCGCTCTTCTCTCATTTGAGCTACTTTGTCGTCTCCCGTGAGGTCCAACATACTCGTGTGTGAACCATATGAACAGGGAAATTGATATCTAGAACCCAGCACATCGAAGTCTGTCTCTAACCCAAGCTCAACTCGCCCATATATCATATATGAGCCTGGTGGGGGAAGTGAAATGTTAAATGCACTGGTATATTAGCCTCAGAACGTAGCTAATGAGCCCCGGTGGATCAATGCAGATCATCCCTCCATGTTGATCCAAGCACACACGGGAGTTGGTACAGGGAAGATGGGGGTTCGAATCCTCCCCGGGGCATGAGTGGCTTATGTTGGGTTTTTCCCCCCGTGTACCTGTTTCCGCAACTCTGGGGTTAAATAACTGGGAGCTGTTGCTCTGATGCGTTTCTCCTGATGACTTGGGTGTGATTTACGGACCTGAAGCTTGAAGGCCAGACTTTCAAGCAGTTGCCAAAGAGTCTATTCACAGCTAGAAATTAACGAGGGCTGCATCTCCATACACACCCCAACACACCGAGCACACGAGCAGGCGTAGAATGCCAACACACGAGCTGAAGGTACGCCCACTCTCCGTTCCCGGGGGCGCACCAGAAACGCACCCGCAAGCATTTGGCAGAAAATCTAAATCCGCGCGGCTCACCCACAACTCCTGGCACCGCCCCGACTGTACGACCGTACACGCGCCGAGACGACCGCGCCCACACCCCAATCAATGTAGATCCGCCCAGACACCAACCCCGCTCCCCGGTGCACCACCACGCGCCCGACACCGCGCCCCCGAAACGACCAGCCCGCACGACCCCAATTAACGCACGTACGCCTAGACACCGCGCGCGTTGACACGCCTCGCGCACGAGTACCAGCACGGAGTCCCAGCACGCACGCGCATTGTCGCGGTCGGGACACAGAAGGCAGCGCTCCTCCGCTTTCGCGCGACGGTGCGCGGGGCGAGGGACAGGAGCGGGGGAGTGGGATCGAGCGGGAGATCGAGCGCGCGGGAGGGGAAGGAAAGGAAGAAGGGAGGAGGGAGGAGGGGCAGTATGTACGCCAAGGTGGAGGAAATCTGTAAAATGGGACGGCCGGAGGGGGAGCGAGACTGGGGCATGGATATGGATATGGTGAAAGGACGAAGGATTTGAAAGCGAGGGGAGATGTAGAAGTGGGGCGAAGGAAATAAAGTAGGGCCAGACGGCGAAAGCACCCGCGCATGTCCCCTCAACAGAAACCAAAAGAACCAAGAAAAGCGACTCACCCGATCGCGCGCATATCCTCCGACATGCGCATGAACGCCTTCCCCGCCGCGCCGCCCACTCGGCCGCGCCGCCCACTCGGCCGCGCCGCCCACTCGGCCGCCCCGCTCGACACGGCGGCGCCGAGGTGCGCCGCCAGCTGCGCGGGCGTCCACCGCTTGAGCGTCAGGACCGCCGCGCGCGCCGTCGTGCTCGCGATGCTGTTCGCACTGACGCCCGGCGGGACCGGCAGCACGCACGGGCCTTGCACGCCTCCTCCGCCGCCTCCGTTGCCATTGCCGTAGCCATTCCCGTTTGCATTTGCGTTGCCGTTTCCGTTTCCGTTTGCGGTAGTGTTCGACCCCCCGCGAGGCAAATACATATCCTCGCTCGAGCTCAGGCTGCGGCTATACCGGTGCCCGCGGTACTCGCTCCTTTTGCCACCGTCCTTCACGTCCTTCGCGGGCGACGGCGGGACGTAGTGGTGCCGGCTAGCGGGCGAGGCGGAGTTGGAGTTGGAGCGCGAGAGGAGCGCGGTCGCGGTGGTTTTGATGGGGTAGGGGTGCGTGTTTGGCTGAGTCAGTTCCGGGCTCTTTGCGGGGGAGTTGCTGTTGGTGTGCGCGGCATCGAGCTTGGTAGGCGAGCGCGGGCGGAAGGAGGAGGACGGTAGGGAGGTCGTCGTCGCCGTATCCACGGTCGTGCTCATTGCTGGGTCCTTCGAACTGAGCGTCGAGCTCATCGTCGTGGCCGTCGAGGAGAAGAAGTCCAAAATGGGAATGGGAAAGGAAAAGCGCCGGCATCCGCCGGCACATTACGTCATGTTTCGCACCGAGTCCCGACTCCCGATGTCCCACGGTTCGCCCAGCCCGTTCATGTCCAGTGTTGTCCACCGGTTTAGAATTCCTCCGACGTATGAAAGGTTAAAACACAGATTATGAGCCCCGGTAGATCAATGCAGATCATTCCTTCTCCATTGTAATTGCATACTCGACTGCTGACAAGTAGGAGGTTCGACTCCTCCCCGGGGCATATTGCACTCGAGTTTTGTTTTGTCGTGAGGCCCGCTGTTATCTATGCCGCCTGCCGAATATTCCAGACTCAGTACTCAGTACTAACCCTCAGTACGAACTCAGCCGTGTCCCTGACAACACTGACCGCCCAATGTCCTGTGCATGTCAGCCAACCGGCAGATGCTAGGTCTGTATATTCGGGCTCGGGCTATATCTACCGAGCCCTCATAGATCACGGTAGATCGTCCCTCTTCCATACATCTGTCATCCGCTGCCGATGGAAGACGGGGATTCGAATCCTCCGCAGAGCATAGGTTCTCAGTTGCTTTTTCCCCCCTGCCATGCGAGAACCGCAGCACCCCGGCACACACCTCCCCACCCGACCCTTTAGCAGAAAATTCACAACAATCATCAGCCTACGTTCAACCTCGATGTGAAAATAATTCAGCAGAGTCGAGTGCTTCAACTATGGTAACAGATGGTCCTTGTCTTCGTGAACACTAAATCAGCGGAGGTTTATTCGGGCTCGAGATATAGCTAACAGCCCTGGTGGATCACGGTAGGTCGTCCCTCCTCCATGAAGTCTTTCTGGTCCTCAGAGGGAAGACGGGGGTTCGACTCCTCCCCAGGGCATACACTTCAGCGGGGATTATTTTCCAACTTTTCTGCCGAGCCGCTCAACCTCGATACATACGAGTCATGCAGGGCATTCGACCGTTGCCGCTATTTTTTGTCTGCCGGGAGTTCGCTGATGTATAGAAGCTCGATACACGAGTCATGCACTACATACTGCCAAGAACCATCCGAGGCCGCAAATTCCCGCTTTTGCTGGGCTGTCAGAGCAAGCAGGAAATCAGTCTACAATGTGGTGGTTTGTTTGAGTTCAAGATATAGCCAACAAGCTCTGGCAGATCAGGGTACTGTATTTTTTCATTGAATTCGACCGCCACGCGTCACTCCCCCCTTGGTCGATGGCGAACATTGGGATTTTGTCACGCGTCACCCTCCCTCTGGTCGAACACATTTTGTGTCACGCGGCCCTCAAAAGTCCCCAAAATTGTGACTGCAACATGCAAAATCGAAAATTTTCGTTCCGACAGTTGAAAACTTTGCATATGTCACGCGAAATTTCGGCCGTGGTCGAATGGTCGAATCGGTGATTTGAGTCACATGTCACCCCCCCTGGTCGGATTGAATGGAAAATGAAGTAGATTGTTCCTTCTCCATGAGATCCTCCTGGTCTGTAGAGGGAAAGTGGAGGTAACCAGGGCCTACTATCCACTGTTGTTGTCTTTTTTCCAATGCCTCCAGTTCCTCCTGAGTCCTGAACACAACTGTAAGGCTCCCGCTAGCTACACTAAATGCTTGCCAGGACGTATATGATGTGATTTTTCTCTCGGCTCACGAAACGGCCATCCGCGACTAATGCTGCGGCCCTTCACCGTGTTACAAGTTATCCCTCAAATAGCCTTTTTCAAGACTAAGTAGACATGAATTCAACCCCGAAATACAGCATCTGAAACATACATGCAGAGCCTCAATACGAAAATTACATCAACCGTGCCCCACCGCAAATGCGCCGAATCACAATCACCCCCGATAGTCCCCGATGGGCCTGAACTCCTGGCTGGCCGATTCAGAGGGAGCAGGAAAACTGGACAGACCGTGCCGGGATATTCAGGCTCCGGATATAGCAAACAGCCCTGGTAGACCAATGCAGATCATCGCTTCTCCATAAAATAAGTTCGTTGTAGATGGAGGGAAGGCAGAGGTTCGAATCCTCCTCGGGGCATTACTCTGTGAGCTCCAGGCTCCTTTTTCTCCCTTGCCATGCTAGAATCTGAGTACGCCGAGGGAGCGCATAATGACTCCTTCTTACATGCCGGAGAAAATAATGTGCTGGTTTGATACAAAAGATTATTATTTGACGCTCTTTTACTTGACTGCAAGGTGAAAGCACGAGGCTACGCTTACGTATGTATAGAAGTTTAGAACGCAGCTCAGAAAGCCCTGGTTGATCACTGCAGATCATCCCTTCTCCATAAAATAAGCTCTTTGGAGAGACCTTGACAAGGTAATCTCCGCAAGCCCGGGGCGACTAATAACCATTAGAGCTACGCATTCCTTGCCCCAAAATACCGGAACATGGTAATGGGATGGTATTCCTCGTTTTCCTGTCATCTCATGGTCATCCTTCGGGTTAACACTCATGGACTTCAATCATTTTCGGACGTTTATGAGATCTGCACCATTCCGCCTTATCAGGGAGGCCGTGTATGGTGGCTCGAAATCCGATATCTGATAATTCTCCGAGTCCGATCCTCGAGGTTGGATAATGCGGGCCACTGCGAGCCATCGGTGTCGGGGTTCAATTTGGGCTCCTCACCGTAGCCGTAAAATACGGTATACGGTACGGGTTCATACGGCAACCCGTACCGTCCCGTATGGCCCTGTGGCGGGACTTTGTACGGTTACGGCCGGCTCCGTAAGTGGTGCCGTATGAGGCCGTACCGGTACGGCCGTATACGGTACCTATACGGGCCGTAAATCGACCCTAAGTGGTTCGATTTTGCTGTTTAGGGCGGTCGGGTCCGATGCGGCCGCTGGCACCGGAGCAAGGACATCAACTGATCACATCAAGCGGCTGATGGCGGGCGTGACGGGGGCGGCGGTAAATAAATCTGAAAAAAATGTAAGAGTCAGTGTGGCAGACAGGGAGGGGGTCATCAGGGATTTCTGGATTCATAATCCACTCAACAGCAACCTCGACGAACTCCTGTTTTTTTTTCTGCGTCAATTCGGCATCAAGGACCTCTAAAACCCCAACAAAGGCCAGGAAAGTTCGGGGGGAAATATGAGGAGTGAATAAAGGCGTAGAAATATGGGTGTGTCTGCACAGAGAGCCCTGGTTCTATTTGAGGTTAAAATAGCTAAAAAAAAGTGGTCAAAGCGTTAGCAACATCTTATCTGAAGGTTATCTCCTCAGTTCGAAGGGTATACTTAGTATTTGGCAAGCCCGAATAGAATTATCTATCAAACATACTGTGTTCAACCAAGGTTCAAGGTCGACCATTGTCAGATCGCAATTTCTCCCCGAGTACTAAGCGGCGGGAGAGTTCTGATCCCAATTTCACGCGCCTGGCGCATCCAGTCGCCCTAATTCAGAATATTCTATGCCATTGCCGACCAGGTATAAAATGTGGTGCCCTGGTAGCCCTAGCTAATCAATTTTAAAATTTTGGCTTTATATACGGCCGTAATTAAATATACCGTAAGGTACCGTAAAAAAGTACCGTACCGTCCCGTAAGAGCCTCTGGAGAGCAGTTTACGGTTACGGGTACGTCCGGCATTGACTGCCGTACGACACCGTAAAATGTACGCCCGTAACCGTATACGGTACGGTGGGGATTCCTAGGGCCGCCGCCCGTTCAATATCATTAGAGTTTCACTGCGAAATGACGCACGCATACTGCGCAGGCTCACTCGGCGGTAGCATCCTCCATTCTAAAAAGGGACTTCTGCCTCGCTGAACTGGGGGCTGCCAGATCATTTTGAGCTCCCATCCATTAGATCGTCATCGATTATTCCCGTTGACCCCCATCGGATAGGAGGTAGTATCATAGTTCCGCCCTCGTCGTACCACAATAGTACGATCACGGACGGCCATGCCGTTAATTCAACGGTATAAAAGGTGGTTGAAATGTGGGGGATTACCAGGATCCTCCCAGCTACCAGTACATTGCTGCCCACCCGGTTCGCCCATTCATTACAATTACCATTTCGCAACAGCTGACCGTACACTTACCGATTAGCATCCCTTCATCCGCCATGTTTTTTGCGCCCACTGTTCTCGTCGCTGTTGCTGCTGTATTTGCAGTTAACGCGGCACCCATGACTTCCCCCGCCCCGGTCCCGACCGTTACCAATGCGACTCAAACTGCCACCGCGACCTCGCCCGGCCCAGTCCCGACTGTCACCAACGCGGTTGAAATTGCACAAGGGCTCAGGCAAGAACCGAGCATCGTCGATAGGTTCAACAAGTTGCTGAACGATGAAAACGGAAACCTCCTCACCGGTGACGCTCTCCGCCAGCTCACGGTTTTCGATTTCAACCTTCAGGCACCTGACCCCGGTGCTAAAGGCGGATCCATCCTCCTTGCCACAGTCGACGACTTCCCCATCCTCGAGGAGCTTGGCATCTCCGGTGGCGTCTCTTTCATCGAGCCGTGTGGGCTCAACATCCCGCATTTACATCCCCGCGCGAGTGAAATGCTCACTGTGATTGAGGGGATTCTGGACACCGGATTCGTGCAGGAGAACGGATTCAACACCGTGGTCGAGACGCAGTTGGGGCAATACCAGGCGACGGTGTTTCCGATGGGGAGCATGCACTACCAGCAGAACCCTACTTGTTCTCCAGCTGCCTTTGTAGCTGGTCTGAGCAGCGAGGATCCTGGTCGAAGCGATATTGCTCTGAGCTTTTGGATGCTCCCCTCTGATATTGTGAACGCTACGTTGGGATTCCCGAACACAATTGGGGGTGGGAACATCGACGAGTGGAGGGCCCACCTCCCGGTCAATTTGGCTGCGGGAGTGGACAGTTGCTTGCAGGCGTGTGGGTTGTCGGAATGATGGATCCGGAATAATGCGCTTTACTAGGTTTTGTCGAATAACTTCCAACCTTCCCGTGGACCCTCTTCAATTTCTTGGCATAAATACAGCTCTCATCTCATGTAACGTAGTATAGATTGTAACTCTATATATTTGTGGTGGTACCCTGTTATACAAGTTCGAAAGTCCTTTGCTGTGACTCCTTGAAAAGCCGCACAACGAGAGTATCGTACATCCAATCAGCAGTCCACCAAGTCCAATACCATTCCCGTCTCATGCCCTGTCGATGGCGGCAAGCCGCCGGGCGAGTAAGCAAGGCGTACATGTACTCCGATCCCTACGGTTGCGGGGACGAGCGACGGGACGTAGTCCGTGGGCGTGCTCGGATCGAGCGGCAAGCCGGACTGGTTCCCGAGGAACTCGAGGGCGTAGGTTTCGAAGACGGTGCCGACCCACTGGAACATCTGGGTCGGGACAGTCCACGGAGATGTCATTCCTGGGAAGCAAAACATTGGGAGATTAATAATAGGCGCGGGGGTGGCGCGAGGCACAGGAGCGGGATGGTGATGTTCTGTTCGCCAAGCACAGAAGCCGCCAGGCAGAATGGGCTGTCGGTGGTGGCACTGATCACCGGGCTGGGCAAATATAAAATCCTTCAGCCTGTACGTTACATGCAGGAGAGAAAATAAAGCGCACCCGAACCTCGTCTGAGGGAACGAGTCGGGATTCGTCTGCCCGCATATAAACGCGAAGAACGCGAAGAAGCCCGGGTCAAAGCCCGCGTTGAGGGCGATGACGCTGAGGAGCGCGTTCCCCGCCGCGTCGAACGGCCCGCTCGTGCTGAGCCCAAGAACCGTGTGGGGGTGATCGCCGTTGCTATCCGCGTCGGCTGGCGTGCCCTACCCCAATTCCTGGAGAACCAGTGAGAACACAGTCAGGGGCGGATTTATATGAGCATTTACAGTGGCGCCGTCGTCGGCGCAGAAGGAATTCACTGCGGAAACGGCGAGGAGCGCGCCGA